GGATATGGCAGTGAATTTACAGAGTACAGAGGAATAACACTTGAGTCCTCAGGAATGGCAACGCATGGGGGGTATCATGGGCAAAATAGTATACTCTATTATGTTCATGGTACTGCTCATGTCTATAGGTGACGGTTACCACTTTCCGTCAGGTGGGCCGTCAGCTCGTTTGCCATTCTATGTAAGTTGCATAAAAAATACCTATTGCTCACTAGCTTACTCCGGCGTGAAGCAGCATTGTTATGTTTTGGCATAAAAATATTTGATCTAAGATAAATACTGCAATCTCGATGAAGAATAAACCAGTGTAATTTCTGATACGAGATCTTTAGGAACTGCAATAGATGAGAGGTGCAAGTATTTCATGTTTATATTTATGTATTTATTAAACTTTAATGCTAGTAGATAATGATAAGCAAGTTAAAGTAAGAATGGACTGGTTACTTCGCTCGAAGAATCGACCAGCGATGAGGAAGGAAGGTTCCTCAGTTGACAGCTCCGTACAAGCAAATGCAGTACGACCCTGTACGTTAGTATGATAAAGTGATGACCTCAAATTCATTGTAGAAAGCTGTGGATAGATAATGACTGCTATAATGATGATGATGATGAATACACCTAGATAAAATAAATGACGGATCTAACACCATATGGTGTTTTTTTTTTAATGGATGATAACGGAATGGTAACCCCGCCTGCGCTAACGGTATACGCTGGCGGGGCACCAGTGATAGATGATAGGTGAGGATGAAAAGGCAGGTCAGTTAGCCCATCGTGATGAATACACTTGGAATTCAGCACGATGGTTTCCAGGGGAGACCACGGGGAGGTCGACCTGTTAGGGTATATTATTAGCAATGGAACTGATAATCCGCATTACTAACAATCCCTTCTTCCCCCACCATATGGTGTTATCTACCAGTCGACCGTAGACAGGAATAATAAAAAATATAATTAATAATATTCATGATATTATTCACATCTACAGACGACGATTACCACTTTTTCGGCTTGTTTTCAGGTCTTTGTCAGAAATGCTTGGCATATCAATAGTTTTCTTAATATTTACTCATTTCTAGAGAATTGAGTACACATGTTAGTCGTTTAACATTACGATATTAATATTACGGGTAGGTACATAAAGAGGCAACGTTTTAACGTGCATTGTTTTAAGTTGTGAAGGATAATATAGCAATATAATCCCTCACACAATGGATATAATACCTTTCATCTTCAGAAATTTCAAAGTTTGATTCGGAGAGAATGCTCTATAACATTAAGTCCGCCTTTTGTACCAAAATTTTTTTATAATGTATAGTAACATATGAGAACGGATATGAGAAGTTAATAGATAACATAATACCTATGGCGTGTTTATGTATATTTCTAAATTTTAATTTTAAATCTTTCTAAATGTTTATTTACCCACACAGACCATATAATTGCAAAACAACAATCGTGAAATATTGTTTGATTTGACAAGCATAATTTGCAAGTAAATGCTTAAAAGAAAACACAGATTAAGATCTCATATATTAGAAGAGTTAATTGAGTCAATGAGCAGGCAATGACCCTAATGAGATGGTAACAAAAATAATATGTTCGACGATTTATCGGTGCGCGCGCGCAGAGATTTATAGGGCAACGGGCGCGCCGCTCGGACGAGATAATCCCTTGTCAGGGTTGCCAATATATTTGCTACAAAACGTTTTAACACGAGTATCTATAATTATTATTAACCTTGCATTTTTAGACTGTGCATTTTAAAGTCGTATCAAATATAACGTATAAAAAATAACAGTTTTTTTTATATATTTATACTTATTACACACAAATTTATTATTATTATATGTGTAGTGTAATTAGAAATCGTTCTTTATGGTGAAAATCTTTTTAAAAGTAATCTTTAAAAAGGAAGTTACTTCAAAATTGTAATTTCTAATAGTTGCTAGGGGAAAATAGTAATCAATTTGTTCTGAAATTAAATAATAAGTGTCATATAAGTATACTGTTCAATTATCTGCTTAATGTTTTTGGTATGAAGTGACAATGTATTCTAACTATTGTACTGTCAATTTTATTAATAAATATATAGACTAGATAAGAAATTATTTATCTACTTACATATTCTAATTGTATTGTAGTGGTAAAAAATAAGTGTAAAGTAATGTAGTTATGATCCGCTTTTCGTCGTGGTACGTCATATTGAAGATGAAAAAAGTTAAATCTTAGACAAATATAGGTAATAATTAATTATAATTGTAGTAAACTTTATACTTTTTAATGAAAATAGCTTTAATGGTATCAATAGTTTAGCAGTCAGTAGCATATAAAGTATAAAATAAAGAAGTATCGCACCATCACTTGCTCAAAATCATGAACTACTAGTTACCTTTGACCAAAGACCTCAACTTAACATAAAATCACAATTACATTTCGTACATATGAGAGTTACAACCCTATACGAACACAAATCGGTATGTTTTGAAGAACACACGCGGTCGTTTCAGAGGCAGCTCTTTACAGATCACAAGTAATATCTAACACTTGAACTGAAACAAGAATCGATTTACATCGATTGAGTCAGTCACTTTACAATCACCAAATACTTTATTGTAATGAAGTATTAATTTAAGGTATTAAGAAATTTGTTCATTTTATTACTATTTCTTGTGAGAAGTATGTTAATATTGACATTTATTAATTAATTAGAAGTAATGTATTACATAAATGCAACGCATTTTATATAAATACAAGTTACGTATTCTTGTAAATAGCAAACAAGGTGACAGTTCATCTGATTGAAAGTGGTAAGTAATCTTATGTAGTGGTATAAATAAGATTTTGATAATTAGTAATAATAAGTAAAGTAAGTAATATAACTACTTTAAATACATAATCGGGACTTATAAAAAACCTTTGCAGGTAAACAGTACCTATATACCTGCTTTATTTTTGCTGACGTTTTAAAATTAACTAGTAATATAACTGATACTAGGATGGGCAGTAGTTCCTCTCTTAAAATATTTCCAAATCCTAACTGCGGTTGCCCATCCGTCTGCTAAGCGTGGCAACTACTAGCAAAACCCCCCAAGGGGGAGGATGATGTTTAGCAGTGGACAGTTAAAGGCTGATATGATGATAACTGCTATACAATCAAGTCAATCATTTAGTCCTCAAGCTAGTTTACTTTGTATTATGAGAAACCAGGCAACAATTCAGAATACCCAGACTCGAGCCGTGCATTCTTCATACGCTCATTTGTTGGTATCCATTTGGCAAGTCATACAATACGAATACTCCTGAGCAATTATTATATATAATGTCTTTTAATTTTTTAATACTGCAAAGAAACAGATACAAATAGGACGGTCTATATGAAAGATAAATTTTAAACAGTTGTCATTTTACATTTCACTATACGTTGCTAGTTATAAATAGATCATCATATAGAAAATGAGAAGGTATATGTGTGCCAGATTTGAATTCATTGACACTGTTGACATCGAAGATATTCACCAATACACATGTTGTGAAGATTAGCCGAGCATCATTCAACAAATACCGAAGAAACCGAAAAGCATTCTATGAATCCGTCCCTGTAAATAGTACAGGGCTGCCAGTAACCGCAGAATCTAACGGGTCTTCCAAAACTATTGACAGTGAGTGTGGATGCGATCAGAATTAAGCCGGGGATTATGAAGAGACCGAAATAGACGACTCAAATCCAGGCAGATTAAGGGATTCCGTGTTCCGTCCGACGGCACGGCACAAAAATACCGAAGGCGCGCCGGATGCGATGATTAGTTTAAACATTTAGCTCGTTAATATTGTGATGCACTGCTTCGAATGTCACGTACAAACACGGTGTGAAAGTTCGCGCAAACTGCCCTGCAGCCAGATGGATAATAAAACTTTGTTTTATATAATTATTATAATGTACTATAATTGTAGTACGTTATTATTAACTAGTTTCTGCTCGCGATTTTATAGATAAAAGAACTGTGTGTCGAACAAAATAAAAAATTTGTTTTGTATTGCTTTTAGGATTTTCATATATATATATATATATATATATATATATATACATATAAACATTTGCCAGGAGTACTCTTTGATTTTGACATTCAGTGAAACTACAAAACAAAATATATTTCTACGATTAATGTAAATAAATGAAATAAGGAGGATGTTGACATTTACTATATATTATCATATATAATAAATCTTGATGATCATATATATATAAGAGAGAAGTCTCTGGAATCTCCGAAACGATAAAACTTATGAACCAAAAATTTCAGAAAAATCATCACAAAATTGAGATAAAAGACGCTATAAATAGGAGGCCTATGTCAAACAATAAATAGATGATAATTGTCTGATTATTTAGATTTGAAAAGGTTGACACTTCAATTAATATAAGCTAATATTAGATATTTATATGTTGAAAATGAAAGATTTGTTTTTTTGTTTAAAATGGATAAACTCAAAAAAATTCAATAGCTGCATTATCAGCGAGTAACATAGGCTATATTTTATTTTAAAAGCCCTGCGAAGTTGGAGCGAATCGCTAGTGCTAGTACATAATATAAAATGTTACCTAAATATCTATATTTCCTTTTATAATTCAGTAATAAAATTAACTAATTAATTATCATAAATACAGGTAGTAAGTAATCTTTTACTAACAGGGGCATGATTAGGGACGATAAACAAACACAAACTCTGTACTTATTAACTTAATTCCTACAAAACAAAATTTCAACATGTGGTCTACTGCTATACACAGAATTCCCCATATTTCACAAAGTAGCGATCTTAAACTTTCTATATTTATTCCATCTCACCACCTTCCATCACTCTTCCACCTTTTTTGCCTGTTATTAGGTGCTGGATCTATACAACTAGTTTATATTTACTTTAGGTTTAAGATCTTTCGGACTAAATTGATTACTTCTAATTTAACCAATTAGAACTATAATATTACTGATACTTACCCTAACTCTTGCTTCTGTGAGGTTAGTCCACATGGCTATCTCTTCACGTGTCGACATGTCTGGATAGCGATTTCTTGCAAAAGTCGCCTCTAGCTCTTGCAGCTGTTGACTCGTGAAGTGCGTCCTTTGACGTCGTTGTCTCTTGTTCTTCTTGTCTCCTTTGTCATCCAGGGACGGTTCGTCGGGCCCCACGCCGGGAGTCGTCGATTCCGTCTTTATCGTTGGCTCTGAAGTGAGGGGCCGATTACCTGAAAATGAAAGGTATTATGAAGCTTTTGTTTTATCTAAGTATTAATTATTGCTTTGCCACCTTTATTCTAAACTAAGATGAATGTGACCTTTTGAATGATAACTGTACATGCCTTCCTGATCATAAAAAAGTGGCATACGTTTCTTAAAGCTCTAATCGGGAATTATGAAAAAATTATTTGCGATTAGCAAGCACAATTAGCGAGGGTAACTTCAAGTTAAAAAAACATAAAGATTCTGTGGTGGTAGTAAGTATTTAGAATATTATTTAAACATTAAAAAACTGCAGATTATATTAGTGCAATATTCTTTCAACTAAAATGTTAATGCTCTATAGATGCGCGGACAGAGAAATATTAAGAATGCAATTTGAATATTTTTTCATTAATTATCAAAATAGATTTTCAGAAATAAAAATTTGAAATATTAGACGTTTAATATGTAATTCGATCCCATAATTTCTAGATCATGGATATTCTTTTAATTAAGCTGTTAAAGAATAAAAGAGGACCATATAGCACTATGTTATTTACAAATAATTGCAAGGTTTCATTCGTATTTATAAGACCAGCTCATTTTCTAGTGACCCACGGCAACAAAATCAAAACGTGTACTATATGATAAACAATATATGCTTTAAAAAGATATTATGTAAGTGTAATAACAATAGAGTCATGGCCGCCATTATTCGGTAGCAAGTCAGTTATACGGGGATTAAACGCTGGCGTAGATTATCCATTTACGACAGTGCTGTAAATTCGATGTTCTCAATGAGCCACGTCACTTCACATATAAATGTCACGTGGAACGTCTGTGTTCATTTTAATGATATGATAAAATCTGTGATGATAAAGAAACTGGCTATTTTCTGTTTATATTTTTAACTGTCAACGAATGAAGAGCTATCGAATAAACTCTACAAAGCAGTCTACATGGATACCCGTGTCTCACTGATAAATCTGCAAATTGTGGTTACATGACAGGATTTCATTTTGAAAGATGAGATATGGCAGTAAAATTATTAGACATGGAAACATGATACTGGTCCATAGCAATATTAATAAGAGATAATTAATTCCAATATATTTGGTAAACATCCATGGTAGTTTGCCCATAGGCGACCGTTACTATTTTTCTTTAGGTGGACAGTCAGTTATAAAATCTCTATCGCTCTACCGTTGAATATCCTACGAATTGCTACGAATCATAAAAAATATTGAAAATTTGTAAAGATATTTAGATTTTTGTTACTATTTATGTAAGTGCAAAATACTATACCCTGGATCAATACATAATGTTTATTGTAATTCTCATGGGAATAAAATTTACTCAATGCAAATTCAGCAACTTTTATTTTTCTGTTCTGAATATATTTTATCTATCATGACGGATGGTTTCATATTATACGTGTTTGTTATAATTAATATCATCGAACCTATATCGCGAGGGGACAAGTTCTCTGATAGTGATGTTATTACATCAATTCGTTACGATAACGTTCCGATCGCAATCAAGTTCTATATTGGCTTTGTTACAAATCCTAGTATTGTATCAGCATAGACTCGCTAAGTTTTATAATTTAGTGTTGTTCAACTATTTTTTATTGTTAAATAATAGATAATTAATTAAATAGTATTTAATAATAGATAAGATTACTTATGTTAATTGTTAAAATGAGCGCGTTCACGTTACACCGCTGCGTTGTGAGACGTGCTTATAAAAAAAGGTTACAATCCAATTTGAAACTAGTAGGACAACCCCGAATACGTTAGTAAAACAAATTTAAAGGAATTGTAATTTTTTAAATTATAAATATAATATGAATGTAATAATTAAGTAATTGTATAATGTACTATTAATGCTTACATTTATTGATTTCCTAATAATTTAAATTGAAGAAAATAATGTAAAATATTAAAATATTAAATTAACAGAGTTTTCTAAACAAATTAAAGAAGAAAGTAGTATTTAATTCGATTGTGATTTATAGAAATATTACGCAATGTGTTTGCTAATTATAAATGGGATTTTTTTATCACACGGATTTGTTACAATATCGCTTCTATAGTATGTTAATTGTGGTAACTCATTGTTTAAAACTGAAAAAAAATTATATTATTTAAAAATAAAAACATAAAATAAAATTTACGAAAAAAAATCTGTATCTGCAACAACAGCACTACAAAGTAAAAGATATGTACACATCTATTATTATCTTATGTTTTGTTAACAAACATACTGTATAATATTTTGTAAAAATTGTTTTTTTTTTTTCTTACAAATGATTTGACTTAGCGTTAACCATTTCAAAATAATTCTTACTAGATACGAATAAGACGAAAGGAAGAAAGAGGCAATCATCACCTACCGACGTGAACTAAAGAAAGAAACTTAAGCTTCAGACGACGCTCTTGATATCTAAGATACCACGTTCGCTATATCAGAGATAAATTGCATTGGTAACCCGTCCTACTGAAAAATTATGTCACCAGACTATGGTAATAGGTAAGAAGATAATAACTACCCAGGTGATAGTCACGTAAAATTCTACTACGAATATTTCGAATCCGAGTCCATTTTAAGCAATTACAAAATTCTCAAATCGCCTGTATTTTCAACCGATTTCCAAAAAACTATTCTCAATTCGATTGTATTTTTTAATGTTAGTGACCGTCAGTTTTAAAACGATTTGAAAATGTTTTTTTTTTATCCGAAAGGATATACTTATAGATTGACCCATAAAAATCCCATAAAATATCATAATCGGTTTACTGAATCGATTATGATATTTTATGGAATTTTTATGTTTAATTTTTTAACCAAATTTTTTGGACTTAATTGACTGGTTTTGTTAAAATCGAAGTCGGTTTTTTGTAGGACATTTTTATTATATGTATGTTAAACGATATGTTCGCTAATTATAAAACTTCCCGTATTAGTCCAATATTAATTCTGTCTTGACTACTCTCTGTTTTTTTTTTTTTTGCGGAATTAAATAGTATTTCATGTATAAATTGTTAATGTTATACACTTTTAAGCAGATATCTACCTACCTAATCTATATAAATGGCAAAACCTTTAAAAATAAACAATAGATATTTTTTAAATACCAGAAAAAAAATCTTTATCTAATCAAATGTAAAAACCCTGTACTAGAATATAAAAAAATATATATCTTAATCGTTATTCAAAAATACTTTAATTTGATACTGTATTTACCCACTGTGGATTATCAGATACAGTTTTATTGCCCATAATATATCTTGATTGAACATTTTTAATATGACATATCTATTTTGTGTCGAACATAATCCACGAATTAGCAATTACAATAAATATGTACTCTTATTTCAATTTATATTCCAAATTTTATATTTTTTTAACGAAACATTTCAGATTTATATAAATATCAGACAAGTGTGTACGGATGAATTTATTTTTCAAAATGTATGTAATTAGATAATATAGCAAGCACTGCAAAAATACATTGGCGCAGGAATTCCCAGAGTGGCGTGATGTAAATTTGGAATCGGAACTCACAAAAATATATAAATGAAAATTTTCACAAGAGAGATTTGATGAACTACAAATTAAAAAATAAATGTATAATATAAATAAAACAATAATCATACAATCACACCAATAGCTTGGTCCTCAAGAGTCATGGTCGCAGAATACTGTAAACTCTATTTTGTGTATTGTATTCTTTAGTATTACAAATGATATATTTTTTTGTAATGTATCACTATCATGTATGTTATTAACGTTACAAAATTATATACTTGTCACGTTTTGTGTTAAAAATAAAAAAGATAATACTAACACTATCTAATCTAATGGTATACATACAGTTCTCTCTGTTTATAACATTAGAAACCTGGCGTGAACATAGATATTGTGTTCAGGACATTGATGATAAATCAAGAAATTAATGATTATAGTAATAACGTTATAGTAAGTAGTAATGCCATGCGGTTGTGACAGGCTACTCTTTCCTTTTTCTTGGGTGTCGTAAAATGTGACTAAGAGAACTTAATATTCGAGGGATGGATAGTAGCGTCCCTCTTAAAACATCGCCAAAGCCTGCGGTTGCAGTTGCCAATTCGCCTGCCTGCATCGCAACTTCTTGCAAAACCCTTCTGTTGGAGTAGACCTATATTTAGCAGTGGACAGTAAACGGCTCATTTGATGATGAAGTAGTAATAAACTTAAGTAAAAGTCTATTACAATTACAGATTCTATCAAAAATCTTTTAAAAAATGACATGGAAACGTCTATAGAATTACAACTACCTACATTAACCAGAAAACGATAAACAATTCAATCACATCACTATGACGCTGTAGTGTATAAAGTCCGGGGTGCAATCCTAAATGTGCCACATTTGGGAATTAATTTTTCAAAATTAGCTCGCGTCGAAGCGTTCGAAGTGTCCCAGATGTATGTATCGATCTGATACAACGCAAAACCAGGAAATTAAAGAAATGGTATCACTAAGACATTATCGTAGATAAATAGTTATATCTAATGTATTATAATTTTATTCTGATACAATTTATTACAAAACTTCGATTTCAATACAAATATTCATTCTCAATATAATAATAAGCCCGCCATACCCGGCCTAATCAAAATATTTGCGGAGGATTAGGCGCGTATCGCGTTAATTTCGACAACTTTATTAAAACCATCAATCTGTACGGCTTGGCAATCTCATTGGTGTATAATGAACAAGGTGGGATTATAGTCTCAAAGTTTAGGTAGCGAGCTACCGCGCTATCCTAGCGGCGATTACGATGCGATGGCGATTCCAGGGCTGCCACCTCATATATTAGGTAAGTTCTAATTGTTTAACGAAGCCCTTTTTGTAAAAAAAATACGAACACGATAATATAATAATAATGAAACTTATGTTCTGACAAAAACACTAAAACGTCGATCTGCATTTTTGGATTTTAACATAATTGCTCATATTTGTTTAGATTATAAAAAAGGTGTCTATTTGTAAAACAACTAAAAAATTGTTTAATGAAAAACATGAACTGCCTTTGAACATAATAATAATAAATTTTATTGAAAGTAAAGTCAATTAAAGATATTAATCTGAGCTACGTGTACTACAAACTGATTTGCACTAATCGAAACTTACATACAACTTCACATAATTATTGTCCCCATAATCTCAATGCAGTAATATCGATCAGATTCGCACTAAGCGATCGGGTCTTTGACCTCTATGATAAGGAAACCCTCCAAAAATTAGCTCACGTGCAAGATGTGCTGCAAAGGAATGACTGTAAGGGGATTAACACACCCTAGTGAACAGTGGGCCGTCCGACGTTACAAAAAGATGAACATTTACCAGCATTTTTACTCAATATAAAACTAACCAACCAGTAATCTTACTAGATAGATATTATTTATATAATTTATATCTTACTGGATAGATATTATTTATATATATAATTTATAGCATCATTACTTCTTTTAAATGGATCTCATAATTATCGCATATCGCATAAGAATTCATTTCGCAAATATAGTTTGCCTCTTGAAAACTCTGAGCTTTATATAATCAATAGCAGTTTAGCAGCTCATTGAGCAATGAAAAAATCTATTGTACTACATCGTTGAATATATTAATGTTATTAAGAATAAACGAACGCTCAAATCTGCAATTGCAGAACGTTTACTTGAATCCGAACCAAATTAATGCAGTTCATACAAAAAAGAAAACTCGAAATAGTGTTTTATTTTTTTAGAATCCTAGATTTTACGACAATAATAATGATACATTTGTATGAAGAAACTTGTAACTAAAATATGATAATGACGATTACAAACTACATAGAATGCAAGGAAGAGACTTATTAATGCGGATTACCAGTCCCATTGCTAGTAATATACCCTATTAGGTCGACTTCCACATGATTCCCCTGGAAACCATCGTGCTGAATTCCAGGTGTATTCATCACGATGGACTAACTAACCTGCCTTTTCATTCTCACCTATCATCCCTCACTGGTACCCCGCCAACGTACACTGTTAGTGCAGGCAGGATCACCATTCCATTATCATCCATTAAAAAAACCTACGTGCAGTATGAACATCAAAACAATTTCAAATTTACTTACTGAAATGAACATAAAAAAATTCACTACATAAACGAAAAGCATGAAAAACATTTTCTTTGGCATCCCTATTGAATTTCGATATGAAACGATATGGGCTGATACCAGTTATCAGGGGCGCGCTTTGAACGCTAGCCGACCCATCGATCATGTCATACAACCTTTGCGATCAGCCGACACCGCGACACGTAGGTAAATAATATAGTTAACATATGTTACAGATATCAAACATGTTACACTTCACACTAGAACCGATAAATACAACCTTTCTTAATGGGTTGTTTGCTTTAGTTATATAACCGTTTGACCGGCGATAAGGATATAATTAGAAAAGGGTGTATATTTTGGTACATATATATTAAATATAGTTTTATTTCTAAATAGGCTGATTCTCCACCTAATGTTTTTAAATTTGACGGTATTTTTTGTATGTCATTAAGTGATTATGTCGTTAATTTAGCACGGATTTTGACAATTGATTGAATTTAATGAAATGATGACATTGTTGGTCCTATTTATATTTTAATTATTAAAGATAGAATGGTGTCTATGCTAACGGAATACAATGGCGCGATACTAGCTAGAGGATAAAACGATGAGGATGAAATCAGATCAGTTGACCCAACGTGGAAAATTCACCAGAAAGCAACTACAATATTTTCCGAGAGGATCGTATGGAGATCGACTTGACAGAGTATGTTATTGATAATGGGGACTGACATCTAACTGACAGACTGACTGACTGACTAATTATCCCTTCCCTGTCTATAATGATGTTGTCCCGATTGAAATATCTAGATTTTTTGTTTGGAACACACTTTGTGATATGTGGTTAGTTGGGGCTTGGGCTAATTTGAAAGCTGCGATCATATTATGGGTAAAACAATGTAACCCAAATCTAAAGTTGGTAATTTAATAGTGGGTTAATCGATTTATCGAAGTATTGACAATTTTAAACAATTGCCTATACAGGGTAAGTGATTAATAAACCAGGGTTTCCGACTAAGTATATATACCTATTGCAACTGACCATATATAATCAATTGTATATCCCAGAAATAAGTAATTCTTCATTACCCAAACTATTTATATTTGATCGTCATATTGAATTAAAATTGCCGATACATTCATAAGTATCTTTTGATATTGTTATCATGATACGATGCTTTTGTAAGAATATACAATGTATGTTTTTTTTTCGACTTCGAATAAGGCCTTGAATATACCGTAAGTATATTTACGTCTTGTGAAACAAATATTTTTATCTAATCATCTATTATATGTAGAAACAAACATAGCACCTAAGCGTAGGCTAAGCGCAGACCGCTCCACACTCCACGGCCCTGCGCGACGCGACCCCCGCGGCGCCGCGCTTAAAATCATGTCTGTTTGTGAAAGCATTATAATTCCGTGCAGCAGTATTTGCCATAGAATCCATGAAGCTTACTCGGTTTGCTTTCAGTTTTAAATATGTCACATTGTGTGGTCCTACGATGAATTTAAAAAAGTGCAAGGAATCAGTTCAGTTGTTTAATTTATTCATGTCTAAATATAGGTTGTTAGATGAGTTGAATGTTGAATTTTTAAAATTGTCGATAATAAATCATATATTTTTATCTAGTTAGAACCATTAAATAAAATAAGGTGTTTTTCCTTACTTCCATACTTTTAATTTTTTACTTTGCACACCCTGGGACAACAATATTATAATATATAATCAGGTAGGGATGATCAAGTTATGTACGTAGTAAGGACGACGAATCCCAATAGGTGGTTCGACACGACTCTCAGTAAGTAATTGAATATCGAATTATGTAAATATCTATTACTTATACTATAATAATATCTATTAACTTTTGATATTTAGTTATATTATCTGTTTATCGTTAAATGATTTTTTTAAAGTTTTATTTATGTTTATATTATAAATGATTGGAGAGACCAAAGAAAATTCTTACATTTTTACTTATTCGTTCATCAATTCACTTAGTAAAAGATATTTTATTCTTTGTCTTTTGCGGTTTTAAGTGAAATAGATAACATTCAACTACAAAATATAGAAAAGAAAATATTCAATACTAAGTGAAAAAATTAATTTTCAATGTAATCTAGAAAATTATACATAATATAATGAGTTCATTAGAGGAATGTATATAATCATTGCTAAGCGTAATTAACATTTTAGCTAATAAGTGTGTGATACTGTCAAAATTTCAAGTGAACGACAGGAAGTAAAATATTTAGGAAAAAACATCGATTAAAAATAATATTGCGTGATGAAAGTTTATTTGGTATAAAAAATCTATAAAGTGACTTGCGCAGATAAGCCCATTGAAGTTTTCATTGTACCTAAGTCTATAAAATGTCTCTGTGTAATTTTATGTTTTGCACCATATATGAATAAATTTCTCAAGACTACAGCATTCTTTGAAAAAGAGAGTTTTTTCAAAGTTCGCAACACGTGCGCTATTCCCCTGGTACAACAAGCGTCTGTAGTCTATGGTAATTACTTACTATCAAGTGGATCGTATGCCTATATGCCACCTCTGTAGTATAAAAATAAAATAAAAAAAGTAACTGTAGATGTCCATGTATATTACTTAAATCATCACTTACTGTCATCTGTGTGTTTACGATCGCGCCTCGGCCTCGGGGGTGCATATAATGATTGGTCCACTCCAGATCCAGCAGACGCCAGTGACGAGTGCCCGCTGTCTCGAAATTCTCCTGTTTCTGCCCATACTGTGAAACAAATAGAAATATGTAATTCTACAACTATTATATCATAGGAAAATCAGATATCAATGCACAAAAGAAACGTGAGATGTAGAGCATGAGATTTTGCATGATTTCTTATAACGTAAGAGAAATCACAATCTTTTTAAATTGTCTTAACTGTTAAATACTAGTTTGTAATATCAAAAACGTAAGGTTAAAAAGGTCATAGAATTCAAAAACTTATAGAGCTTTTTTATTAGGTATTATTTAAAACTAGTACCTAATACATATTTGTACAAATACAACAAAAAGGAAATATCATAAATCTGGTCATTTATAGCCATCAGTAAATGTCGTACAAAAAGATAATGTTGCCAAGCCACAGAAAATAATTTTAAAAATATACAAACATCTATTCGCAAGTATAATTAATACACACAAACTAGGTAATCAAGGCACCGGACCAAACATTGTTTATAAATTCGCGGTGTTAAACGCAATTAGAAGTTATTTACTTCAGACAAAGTTTGTAACGCGTAAACGCCGAAATGTTTACGTGCACACATAAATTCAATTAACGTTACTAATAGCGTCATTATTTAACAAGAAAATCTTGACAAAGTAATGTATTCGTTGAGCGACGATGACGCCCCGTCGCTTGCGTCGTAATTAAGTGTCCCCGAACACTTGTTAACAAATTAGTCAGATGAGACGCGACTGTGTGTGCGCGCGCCCTTATTAATAGCACACATGCATGACATCTGCATATTTATTCGGCCTTTAATAAATTATTATTATAACAACTGAAATATATAAAGTATATACAATATAACTACAACTGTTTGAACTTTTACAAGATTTTTATTTAACTTGCTTCGTTCATATCTATGCCTTTCAGGTTCAATTTATAGTCCATTTTTCATACTGGAAAAGCGTCAAGTTAAGCTAAAATTTTATATACGGATGTAGTTACATATATATTGAGTAACAAATATCTAAACATCTAATCATTGAGAAGTGTTCATTGAAAAATTTATACTCTATTTAGGATGTGTTTAGAATTTTCAAATATAGTTTTATCATTGTGGTCAAATCTAAAACCTATATAGTATTGAATTTTATCACCTAACATTATCTGATGTTCTCAATTTTAGTGAGCATATTTGATTATAATAATAAAATACGAAACAAATAAAGAATTTTCTTATACCGTCAAAAAAACATCTTTTAATAATATTCAGGGTCGTCTGAGTATAGTAGTAATAATTGTACACTATAATTTCAGATTAAATTGTTATGAAAAATTCAAAATTTCGTATACACAATGTTTTACAAAAAAACCAAGATAGATAGAGCGCTACCTAAACATCACCCATCTTAGACAAAAAAAGTAAATGTAAAATAAATGGCGCAGCGTGATATCCTTCAATTTACTCACACTATGCATCTCTGTTGCACACCAGCCACGAGCTTAGGAGCAACAGAGAGAGGTGTATAAGATAAATTACGTATACATCACCGAGCGCACTAAGAGCCAGACATATTATCTGCCAAGTTTATTAAAAAATCTTTTAATTTACTCCGAAAACAAATGCACTCAAATTTCCATTGTATTTTTTTTTTTGTTTATATAAAGCAGCTATTTCCATTGTGTCAACCGTTGAGCCGATTGTTTTGGGAAAAGTCACGAACTGTTACAATTGATTGCGTAGAATGCCGATGATAATTGCAATTAAAAAATAACGACGACATTCTTTCGTTTTGTTACACCATCAGAATTTCTAAATGATTCTTAATACTTATATTGTCTTTCGTTCACAGATTTTCAAAATATGATTTTCTATACATTTTATGCGAATACATTTCATTAATAAACGAATTTAGGATTTTAGGATACTTTTTGATAAGTATTATAAGAAATCTCATTTCTGAAAATAGAAAAATATACTCAACTGAGTGCCTATTGTAAGAGGCTACTAAGGGAACTTAAAGGTCGGGGGTGGGCAGCAGCATACCTCTTAAAACATCATCAAAGCCTAACTGCATGCTTCGCAAATAGGTTGGCAACTGCAGTAAGGCTTTCATGATGTTTTAAGAAGAACGCTACTGCCTATCCCTCTACGTCGGGACCACACGGCAAAATCAAATTAATTTGATAATTGTTGGAGTATAAAGTTTATTTCAGTAAAGTTTCAAAAACATTAATTTTATTTATGGGTGGCAACAATTTTTTATTGGATATCTCATTTTTAGAAGGTAGCAACTCTTGTATTTTTTTTTATTAGTATGTGCTCTCTCTTGTCTGTGGTCCTTTTAAGAAAAATATGTAAGAGAAGTGTTAAATGAAAAATAAATATATCAATATATTGTCCGCTGTTTTTATAAAAACACCACATCAAACTTCAATAGAAATTTACATCAATATTTAACCATGAGTTATGTAATAAATATTATCAGATCGATCAATGACATAGACCAACTTTCTACTGGAACTAATTGCTCATGAAACTGCTATTATAGAAAATTTTTATCAAAATCTTTTTAAAATCGACACACTTCAGAGCAATTTTTTTAATAATAAAAAGTCAATTTATCTACGCTCTAAAATGGCAGTAAATCCAGGCATAATTTATATGACTTGTTATATTATAATTAGAAACTTACGACATATGTATTTATATATATTTAGACATATAATTTATTATATTATTTTGATTTATTTATAAAATATACATATCGTTTGTATCATATCATAAATGATCCAATCACTATGAAATTTGATATATACATACGTATTGTATGAAGGATATAGGCTACTTTGAACGTAGTCAGTGACCATATCCTGGAAACGCGGAGGGATTCGCGGGTAAAAGCTAATCATCTATAAAAGTAATCACTATGTATATTCACTAAAAAGAAAATATTTTGATGTTAAACTATTACGATAATATTGAGTTACCTACAACATTTGAAATAGTACACTCAGACAATGTTGTCAAAAAAAAAGAAAGAATGGGTCTAACATGGTAAATAGGCAGGTTTTAACCTGTCATTTAACATATATACACAAAAAGACAAAAATTCAGTGCTTTCTTCTGTTTAAAATCAGTTGAAAATTATTTGTGAATTCATAAAACTTTCACGAATTCAGAAATATTTAATTATTTTGGAAAAAAAAAATAATGGATCATATGGTCCTTAATACATTAAAGAGCGTTTATCCTATAAATTCACTTATTGAGGTATATCAAATACATAAAGTCGCAGGACGAATGCTTATCTATTTAAAGGCAGATATTACGATTGTTTCAAAAAAACAGTGTAACAACATACTCCACATATGTGACGTTATCACTACACATGTAGAACAAACGTCGGGCCATACAAACGTACAGTACAAACGACACTAGTTCAAATAAATTTTATGTTTGCTGCTTTGATAACGACTGATAAGCGTACCTTCATTGTTTTATTGGGGGCTGTAAACTGTGCTCCATGCTCGTTTACAATCATGAACTGTGGATGCTCTCGTATGTATGACCAAAAGGCATAACTGTTATATAAGCAGATACCAAAATATAGAAAGCCAAATGAGCTATAATATTTTGCAAAGACCTAGTCCTATGTTATAGCAACGCAGATTTAAAAGAGTAACTGTTGTGTTTCTTTGCGGGTTCTTTTTAGAAGATAAATTTATGAATCCTGTAGTAGACTCATATAAATATGACTATTTAAATGTGCTTGTAAACAAGTTTAGTTGAATGAAAAATACTTGAATTTCAATTTGGAGAGGTATCATGGGATTGACGCATAAACATAAAAAAAATCTAGTTTTCACATTTCCATGCTTAGTGGTATCCCATACCAAACCCCATACAAGATGTCCCTAATTAAAATTAATAGAAGTTATGTAATTACTGCAGAATAGGGCATGAGTAATACATCGAATTCAGAGACTCCTGCCCACCTTGCACTATTATTTATGTAATTAAAAATTATTATCTTCTCTATAATTACAAACAAGGAACGTATGTAAGTGTATCTTATTAAATTATTTTCGCTCGAAATGTCATTATAACATACATACATACATATCTGTCACGCCTGTCTCCCATTAGGGTAGGCAGAAACAATGGAACGCCAAATGCTTCGATTCAAACAAACCTCTTTCGCTTTTTCCACATTCATCAATCTTTTCATACACGCTCGCCGGTTACGAGTACTTTTAATTTGGCCCTTCTTCAGCACGTCGCCTATTTGGTCGACATACGTTATTATTATATTTATCAAAATCAATAGAAACAATAAAAAGTTACTGCGAAAATAATAAAGCCTCTATTGTTGGCATAACAATCTAATAAGTACTAAATGAACAGTTGCTAAGAGCTTACCTGTCTACTTATTACCAAATCTCATTAGGTTAAGTAAAACAGGTATTCTGTGGTAGAGCGTAGGACAGTTTGGACAGATTATGTGCTAATTTGCCATACCACAAAGGGTATGGCAAATTAGCTTATGATTTTAACGGCATATATAATATAATGAAGCAACAGACGTCAAGAAAATATTTATAATCTATTGTCAGGGAATATGTATTAGGATTTAATTACAGTATATTTGTTAATCCTATTTATAAATGCGAAAGTTTGTAAGGATGGATCATGTTTGTTACTCTTTTCCACTAAAACTACTAAACAAATTTGAATGAAACTTGGTATACGGGTAGGTTATGTTTCAACTTAACAAATAGGATATTGTATGTACTGATTATGCAGGCGAAGTGGCGGGATACAGCTAGTAAAAAATATATTTTGCTTTGCCAAAAAGACTTCAATTGTGAACTCAAATACAACGACATAATGACAATGAATGATATTTCGTAAGCACATTAGATTGAAATTGTTTAAATTTTAAGCATGGGTAATATGGATACCGTCCCAATATCTATATATCGAGTTCTTCTAGACATTGATGGCGGAAAAAATATTATCATCTTTTTTTTTACACCACTAAGGTGGCAAACT